TTTAGTTTAAATTTCTGCTAATAAAGAATGGATTGCGGAGCCCTGGCCAGGTATAGTTCATGGATTGCAGAGCCCTGGCCAAGGTATAGTTCAATTTGTTGGAGCTTCAACCCCAAACACCAAGGTTGTAGGTTAGATGTCTGGTCATGGCACATACATACAGAGATCATTTGGAGGGTTATCAGCTGGGAGAGGAGTGGGGAGGATGGGGGGAAAGGCGCAGGTATTAAGAAACATAAATGGTGGGTACAAAATGGATGAGGGGATATCAAGAATAGTATAGGGAATGGAGAGATCGAAGAATTTAGTGCATGACCCATGGACATGAACGAAAGGGGAGGGTATTGCTGGAGGGAGGGGTACCAGGTAGAGGGGCACAAAGGGGGAAAGTTAGGGCAGCTGTATTGGCATAATTAATGACATATATTTAAGAAAATAAAAAGAAAAAAAGGAGCAACAATGAATACATAAATAAGTGGAACACAAAAGTGTTTCCCCACCTTCTCTCTAAAATCAGTCAAAACAAAACAAAAAAAGGTGATTTTCCTTTTTTTGTTCTGAGGGAAAATTTGTTTTGAGGAAAGTACGCTCTTTTATACAATGTTTAATTTTAATGTTTTCATAAGTAATTTGTGACATGATTTCTAAATCCTACTTGGGTTGTGCCATGTGAATGAGTATTTTCAGAGTAGTTTAGTATTTTTTATTGTAGCTTGGAAACAGTTGACTGTTAAAAGTTTTGCTTTAGCAAGAGGGTTTGAGAAATTGGTATAGTTTTAAAAATTTGAACGTGAGACTGGTAAACTGTAGGAAGAAACAAAAGGCTTATACAGAAATATCAATACTATGCATTATAAAGTTTCAAACAATTGAAAAGATAATTCTCTATGGTTAATAAACATTTTCAGAGTATTTTACAGCATTCTTCCTAAAATGTAGCACATTTATATGTTAAAAGTGAAGACTGAAAGATTAATAATTGGTATCCTATTGATGTACACACCCACATATTTAAAGATGAGTAGCTATTATAGTTACAGGAAAAATTCACAATTATATATTCTTACTAAAACACCAATTAAAGTAGGACCTTTAATTCAAAAGAACACTTTTAATTCTAAGAACTGGATGTATTTTTTCTGAATTACCTGCTTCTACTTTCTGTATGACTAGAGATTTCTAATATATTTTAGTCTTCCATAATTCTCCTAATTTTGAAAATTCAAACGAATAACGAAAGAAGTGATATTTTGGGCTCCATGAAACTTAGAATTATCCCATGCTGTAATTAATCCATTGTTATGTGCTGCTGAGGTAAAATGCTTTAGTAAATATTGTGAAATTATGGCTTCTAATGAGGATTTTGAAGTTATAAGTAAATTTTTTCTTATCATTTGTCTTTTAGTTTATTAAGAGAAGTCACAGTTTTTTAACTTGGAGAGGAAGAGTAGCTTTTACTCACACACCCAATGTCGTAAATCTATAGCTATGTCTACTCCTTTGGCAGATCCATTGTTATTAAACTTCACAAAACATCATTATTATTGCACTTTTACACTGTTAATAGCCTTTTATATATTTACTCTTTACAGTGTTTTCCTTTTTCTTTTTTACTTCTATGTATTTCTAAAATCTGGAGCTTTTCCCCCAGCCTGAAGATTTGCCTTTGGTGTTCCTCTTTCTTTGGCCACCAGGGTGTTGGGTGGCATGGGTCAGTCTGTTTATGTGAGTTTGTATTTCTCCATTCCTGAAGGATATTTTTTCCTAGGTCAGATTCTGTTAACATTGCCCTCCTGGTGTGGCTCAGTGGATTGAGTACCAGCCTGCAAACCAGAGGGTCACCGTTTCGATTCCCAGCCAGGGCACATGTGTGGGTTGTGGACCAAGGTACCCAGTAAGGGGCGCGCAAGAGGCAACCACACTTTGATGTTTTTCTCCCTCTCTTTCTCCCTTTCTTCCCCTCTGTCTAAAAATAAATAAAATCTTTTTAATAAAAATGCTGGGTTAACCGTTTTTAACAGCAATAGTATGTCATCCTTTTGTCTTATGGCTTTCATGAGAAGTTAGCTGTTAGCTCTTCCTATGAAAGTATTGCGTATGTGTTCCTTTTTCACCCCTCCTGGATGCTTTTTTTTTTAAGATTTTATTTATTTATTTTTAGAGAGAGGAATAAGAGAGGGATAGAGACATCAGTGTGCAAGACAGACATTGATTGGTTGGTTGCTTCTTGCATGTGCTGCCAACGGGGGCCCTGGCCTGCAACCCAGGCATGTTCCCTGACCAGAAATAGAACCAGTGACCTTTCAGTTTGTGAGATGATGCCCAACCCACTAAGCCACACCAGTCAGGGCTTCTGACTGCTTTTAATATTATCTCTTCATCTTTAGATCAGTAACTCAGTTTGAGTCTTGTGTGCCCACGTGTAGTTTCATTTGTATTTATACTACATGGAGTTCTCCAAGCTTTTTGTCTATGGCTGAGGTTCTGATGAGATTTGGTAAATTTTGGCTTTACCTTTCTGTATTATTTGTGTCCCATTCTCTTGCCTCTTGTCCTTCAACATTTTAACCATCTTCCAACTTTTCCTTACCGTCTATCCTTTCCCTTGCTCTGGGTTTGTTTGAATATTTTCTATGGGCTTGTCTTTGACTTTACCAACCCTGCATTCAGCTGAGTTCAGTCTGTTGTTACTTGTTCAGCGAACTCTTCTTAATTTCAGACATCATGTTGGCAGTTCCATAATGTCTGTCTGATTCTTTTTTGTTGTTGTTGTATCTATATGAGTTGATAGTTCTTAACTAAAATTATTGTAATAATTTTATAATATATATAGGTCAAAGCATTCTGCTATATACCTTAAGCTTATATGTTCTATGTCAGTTACATCTCAAAAACTGGATAAAAAACAAAGAGAAGCTATCAACCAAAAAAAATATTCAGGAATATTGTGAATAATTAGACATTACATGATAATGTTAACACCAGTAAATGTTTTACTTTTTGGTTAAAAAAATTTACTTGTTTTTTTTTAAATCACTTTCCCTGATCTTATGTTTTACTATAGTAATCATAGTTACTACAGTCAGTCTTTGTCTGACAACTCCATCATCTGGATTATGTCTGGGGTGTACCTCCATGGAAATTTTACTGCCTTGATCATTTGAAGAGTTTGAAGAGTGTAGAGTTTAGTTCTTGAAGGTAGTTATTTTTTAGGTATATTGCCTTGTTCCTGTCATGAATTGGTTTTAGGATTTGTTGGGCAGATGTATTTCACTTGATTACTAGGGCATGGTCTTTCAAGTTCATCTGAAAGTTGAGGATTTCCAACCTCTGAAGTCTTGGCTCAGTTGTTCTCTGCTAGGCCACTCAGAGTTAAACTCCAAACATCCCAGTTTAGGAGTCCACCAAGGACCTGTGGGGGACTTTAAGATAGATTTTTGAGACTCAGTTCTCTGCAGCTTGCTTTTACCCTGTCCCTCAAAGCCCACCAGCCTTGTCATCAGTTCCTAAGCCTTGTTGTCAGTTCATTGTCTCTGCCTGGAGACCATCATTAGTTTTAATCAAGTGGGGTAAAGAATGACAGTTGATAATTATCATTGTGTGAAGACTTAAATGGCCTGTGATGAGGAAATACTGGTAGAAACCATTGGAGATTTTAAGGCATTGGCTACTCTAAATTTTTGGGCCTTAAGTACTCTGTAAACATTTAAATAATCAATCCAGTAAGTTCCAGTTGGGTATAGCACTGTGTTTATCCATTGGCATTACAGTTGTGAGCAAATCAAGCCCTGCTTATGAGTGACTTTAGCCTGGTAGGAAGTAGTTCCTGAACATACCATCTTGTAAAGAAAAGTGTATTTTGTAAAATAAGTACTTACCACCTATCTGCTCTGAGATCTTTTAAATCATACATCTCTGATTTACATAATCTTCTTAGAGTGAACCTATATCTGTTGCTTTATTGCCTTTTAAATCTGATACCCAAACTCTTGTAGCACCCTCCCCCTTGTAGCACCCTCCCCCTTTTTTGGTATGAGCATCTGGTGACTCTCCTTAGCCCTCTGTTTTCTCGACCCTAATTTATGATAGTGCTACTTGAAGCAGTGTGGAAAACACCCATTATCCCCAGGCTTCTTTCTTTTCCGACATTAAATGACAGTATTAAGTATGTCTAACCTAGAAAAAGATTTAAGTTCAAGCCAGTGTTCAGCTTTTTTGAATTGGGCCAGTTGGAAATGACAAAAATTACTGAACTTTTAAGTTACCATATATCATACTAGTATGACGTGAAGGCAAGGGCTTTCATGTGTAGTATTGATTATTGGCTTGATCACTTAGTGAACTTCTTTTGGTTATTGTAATATAGTTGTACTCTCCACACTTTAGTTGTGTTTTCCCCCTCCCCACTTTTCATATACAGTACTTTAATATAATGGTGTGTTAAGAAAGATATTTTATTTTCTCAGCTCTGTTGCATGGTTTCTAACAATCTTTTTGATAGTGGAAGATAACTATATATAGTATTATTATACTTTTTAATTTGAGAAGCTCTTTTCTCTTAATGAAGATGTGCTAGAATGAAGAGTCTGGAGCTCTTCTAATAGGTTGGTCTGTGGTCTTTGATATGAGATGTTTCTGTAATTTTTTATTTTATCTTCACCTGCTGGAGGACATGCTTATTGATTTTAGAGAGGGGGAATGGAGGGAGAGAGGGAAAGAAACATTGATGTAAGAGAGAAGCAATGATCGGTTGGTTGCCTCTTGCACATGCCCTGACCAGAGGATTGAACCCACAAGCCAGGCATATGCCCTGACCAGGAATCAAATGAGCAGCCTTTCGGTTTACAGGTTGATGCTCCAATCATCTGAGCCACACTGGCTGGGACTGAAATTTCTTCTTTAAAAGATAATATTGTCATTATTGGTTCAAGTTTATTTAGAGTATTGCTGTTTAAGATATATTAAGAACTTTTAAATAATGTTTTATTATTTTCCACTAGGAAACCACCCCTACTCCTAATCCCCCGCCTACAGAAGAAGAGAAAACAGAATCTAACCAGGAGGTGGCTAATCCAGAACACTATATTAAACATCCTTTACAGAACAGGTAAGTTTGTGGACACATGGTTTTTTGATTTAGGGGTGAATAGGACAGGTTTATAGGGAAAAGTTAGATGAGACTAGTTTCAGATAGGTCAGGTTGAGGATTCCATTTTCATTTGGATGACCCATGTCCAATAAGCATTTTTGTGTATGAATCTTGAGCTCAGAAAGAACTGATTGAGAGGTTGGTTTGAAATTTATCAATAATAGATGGTGGTACTTACTTGACTCAGGAGAAAGGCTTTGTTAGCAAATGGGGGATTTCTTCTTTTTTTTTTGATGGTACAGACATAGAAGCTATATAAATTATACATATATAAAAAGATCAAATACTAATTGAACAATAAAATAGTCTAAAAATGCCAATTGGATTAAACAATAAAAGTGCTGACACAGAATGAGAAAGTTTAGTAGAGGGTGGATGATGGAAAAAATAGGAGTAGTTTGAAGAGTAAATAGATTATACAAAAATGTATGGAACAAGAATAGACACTTTGAAATTGGCTATGAAGGAGAAAAGGGAGACCTAGGGGATTTGGAGTCTGGAGGTTGGTTGGTTCATATTAAAGACCAGTTAAGAGACATTAAGGTGAATTAATGTTTTCATAGTTATACGTTAACAGTAGTTGAGTGGTAGTTCACTGCATGGTTTTCTTAACTCTGCCCCACCTCTTCCCTGTATGTTTTTTACTTTATTGTCTTTCATGTTTATGTAAAGAACATTTACACGAATTCACTGACAGCTGATGGTGCGAACAAAATGGCAACATATAAACATTGTAAGAATCTGGAGGAAAGTAAATTGGAATTGACTTCTGAAGATATTTAAGTATTTCATTCAGTTCCTTTGATTCCCCCTCATTTTTACTTTATTTTAAAGATCTCATAAGCCTGGCTATAATTTAACTTCACTTATCTAAAAAATACATTTTCCCTTTATGGTCTCAATATTTTTTATCGTTTCTTCATTATCATGGAAGACCTAATGAAATAATAGTCCAAACATGTTCTATGTCATTTTTCATAGGAGACCTATGGTTTAGGGTATCCCTCAGTGAGGGACATAATCCATTCTTTAGACAATGGGGATTGTCAGCTAGTGAGTGAGTTATCAAATCAATAGTCTGTAAAGGGCCCTGGCTGGTATAGCTCAGTGGATAGAGCACAGTTCTGTGAAGCAAAGGGTCATTGGTTCGATTCCCGGTCAGGTCACATACCTGGGTTGCAGGCCAGGTCCCCAGTAGGGGACAATATGAGAGCCAGCCATACACTGATGTTTCTCTCCCTCTCTTCCTCCCTCCCTTCCCTTCTCTCCCTTCTCTCTCCCTCCCTCCCCTCCCTTCTCTTTAAAAATAAATAAATAAATCTAAAATAAAAGAAGTATGATCACCAAAAAAAAAAAAAGTCCATAAAGGATAAAATCCTTCTTTAGGAAGGCACTATACCAAAGTTATTAGGGGAAATAGTAAATAGCAGGAATTTTATATAATTCATCCTCACTGTAGCATCAGAACCCTTAAAGTATTTTTTCATCTTTTATTGGTGTCTTAAAAACTAGCTCTCTGTGCCTTCTAACTGTATGTTCTTAATGTTGCTATTACTGTGGGAAGGCATACATCCCTCCCAGCTTGTACGAAGGCTAAGAGGAAATTTCTGAAAGTGGCCTCATTGGTAAACAAATTGAGTACTAAATGAAGTCTTTGAGGATTTCATTTTCTTTATAAATTTTACTTGTGTAAAATGATAACTATCACTGGAAAAAATATTCTAAGATGCTTGATGGTTCAGATTTTGGTAGTTATCTCATTTATTTAAATATTGCAGAATTTATTTTGCTTCCTTAAAATATAATCCCTAATAATTATAGCAATTAAGTTAGTGTGGTACAAGTATATAAAGTAAAGGTTTTCTGCTCTTCTCAGGTATCTTCTCATTTTACTTTTCTCCACTCCCTGGAGGAGTAGTAGTCAGTGTTAAATTTGCTTGGTATTCTAAAACTTTCCAATGTGCACGTGTATGCTTTTGTTTGTATTTTTACCAAATTTGCATTAATGGATATATAGATTTTTTTCTTTTACAAGTAGTGCTATATGCATATGTCCTTATATACCGTATTTTTGGAGTGTAAGACGCACTTCCCCTTCCAAATTTGGGAGAAAGGGGGGTGCATTTTATAGTCTGAATGTAGCTTACCTGGCTTGCAGGGGGCATGGCAATGGGTCTCAGGTTATTAAATATTTCACCACATTTTTTGCTTCAAAAAAATTTTTTTTCCTATTTTCCTCCTCCAAAACCTAGGTGTGTCTTACAATCGGTATGTCTTATTGTCCTTAAAATATGGTGTTTTTGTACACTTGTGTGAATATGTTTTTAGCGTTAAATTTCAGATTTTCTAGGTTAAAAACTACCTTTATAAATACTGCCAAATTCTTTTAGTAGCTTAGACTTTTAAGAGTTTGAGAGTTCCTGTTTTCTTTATCTTTGTCAACCATCAGTCTTTATAATTATTGCCAGATTGTCCTATTCTGATCTGAGAAAACACTTACCGGTCTAAATTTGTGTTTTTTTCATTGAAGTTTCAGAACATTTTCATATTGTATTGATCATTTGTGTTTTAAAACAGACTGTGGGTAGTTTGTTTAGTTCTTTTAGGTTATCTTTTCATTTCCAAGCATTGTATATGAGGGAATGCTAAATCATCCAAGGAGGGGGATTAGGTTGGAAATGAGTTACCCAAATCATTTGGCTTTTAATATTGACTATGGAATTATATTTTTTAGATTTTTTTTCAGTCTAATATCACCCTTCTTTCATGGCTTCTGGTTTTTATCTCAGGAAAATCCACACTTTTATTGTAATAGCACACAATAGTCTCTTGCATGGATGTATTATATTTTATTTAAATCAGCAGTTCTCATACTTTTTGGTCTTACGGCTTATCGACACTTAAAAACTATTGAGGACTCCACAGAGCTTTGGCTGTGTAGATTTTTATTTATTTCTCTTACTATATTAGAAAATACACTTGAAAAAATATAAAACTATATTTACTTTAAAATTTGTTAATTTTTCATGAAAAATATCCAAAATAAAATGTAGTGTGAAGAATAGCATTTTTGCAAATCTTTTCAAGTCCCTGAGTTACAAGTTAGCTAGATTTTCATAGCTGCTTCTGTATTCATGCTGTGGAGATAACGACATAAGTTGTTTCAGACAAAAATACAGAATATGAAAAGGACATGTACACAGATGGAAATTTAGTGAAACCAATAATTTTTACTGCTTTGTCAGTGGTGTTCTTAACAAAACTGACATTATTGTTACTGTGAGAATTGGAGATAATAAAAAATAGTGTGTACTATTATAATTTGGTGCCACTGTATTATTTTTGCTAAGGCACAGCTCATTTACCCGCCATTGCTTTTGTCCCAGTAGTGCAAATGTCAATACAGTGAAAAATAATGTCTCCGCATTATTATGAAAGTACCTTTTACTCATGAAAGCTCTTGAAAGAGTCTTGGGGTCTCCTAGGGGTCAATAAACCACACTTTGAAAATGGCTGATTTAAAAATTCCTTTGTTGATCCCTGGCTGGGTGGTTCAGTTGGTTGGAGCATTGTCCCCTACACCAGAAAGGTTGTGGGTTCAATCCCTGTTCAGGGCACACACCTGTGTTGAGGGTTTTGATCCCTGGTCAGGGGGGTGTATGGGAGGCAACTAACTGATATTTCTGTCTCACGTAGATGTTTCTCAATCTCTCTCTAAAATCAGTAAACATATCCTGAGGTGAGGATTTAAAAAATAAAATAAATTTCTTGTTGATAAGCACTTAAGGTTTTTCCAAATTTTCTAAAACTAAGAATGTCCAGCTGAACTACTTTTATTATTTATTGTTTGTTAAATTGAGGCATAATTGACACACAGCATTAATATATTGATGTATCAGTTTCAGGTGTACAATACAGTGATTTAATATTTTGTATATATTGTGAAAAGATCACCACAGTACGTCTAGCTAGCATCTGTCAACATACGCAGTCACAAAATTTTTTCTTGTGATGAAAATTTTTAAGATCTACTCTCTTAGCAACTTTTAAATATGCAGTATAGTATTATTAACTATAATTGTCATATCAAATCTCATTTATTTACTTATTTTATGACTGGAATTTTGTACCTTCAAAACCCCTTCATCCATAGTATTTTGGGGGGTAAATACCCAGTAGTGAAATTGCTGGGTCATATGATGATTCTATTTTTAAGTGTTGAGGAAAGACTAAGGTAATTTTAGAAATCCAGAGTATAGTACTTGAATAGTAGTATGTTTAATAGATTTTCTGCCTTTGCTTTTTGTGATTTTGGTAGTGAGTTGGCAAATACAAATTACCAAGTAGGTAAAATGTATCTTATTTTTATATTTGAGATTATCAAGCATTAGTCATAGAGTTAATGAAATATCATACCTCTATTTGGAAACCCTGTTTTCAGACTTTTTTATCACTGAGAATATTCTTTAGTTACCTTTGGTATAGTAGTTGAGTGAACATAGTTCTAAAAATGAGTTCTTTTAGATGATAATATTTAAGCTTTGATGTAACATGATTTTATTTTCAAAATATTAGAGTAGAAAAACCCTTTAACAAGTGTAGACAGATACATAGAAGCTGGTACACATTATTGAAGAGCATGTCTGTGACAGCATTACTCAGGAAGCCCCTTTATTACTCTCCCATCTGTGTGTTTGAGTAAACAGAGACACATTTAATGCTTTTCCCTCTTTCTAGCACTCCCGTTTCTTTCTCTTGGCTTCTGCCCTTTTGTTTCTCTTAAAACTCAGCTTTTCTGTTCCCCACTTTGCTTTCAGGTTACGTGCTTCTGCTCTGTTTTTCTTCAGTGACTATGCTTGATGATTACAGCACTCAGCATACTGCAGCAGTCGGATAAATTTTTGTGAATTCCCCTGAGGAATGAGCCTCAGTGGGCCTCCGTGTATAGCAGAGAATTTGTTATGCATTAGGCACAAAATCCATACCTTTTAATTAAAAAAAGACAAAGCTACTCTATTTGCCACTGTAATAATTATAATTTAAAATTACTTTATTTTTAATTTTGGTAAAGTACACATAACATAAAATATACCATCTTTTAAATGTATAGTATAGTTCATAAGTGTTAAGTGCATCCACACTGTTGTGCAACCAGTCCTTTTATTTGCAGAACGAAAGCTTAAATCTGAACTCCATTAAATAACAGTCCCCCATTTTCCTTCCCTTAGGCCCCTGGCAACCACCATTCTTTCTGTCTCTGAATTTGAGTACTCTAAGTACCTCATACAAATGGAAACATACACTATTTGTGTTTTTTAACTGTCCTATTTTACTTAACATAACGTCCTCATGGTATATGCATGTTGTAGCAAGTGTTAGAATTTCCTTCCTTTTTAAGGCTAATATTACATGGTATGTTTTTACTACATTTTGTTTATTATTGATACTTATAAGTGGGCACTTATGTTGCTTCCTATTTCTGGCTATTTGGAATAATCCTGCAATGAACATGGATGTAAAACTGCCATATTTTTTTGACACCAACTTTTTATTTTTAGATGGGCGCTCTGGTTTTTTAAAAATGATAAAAGCAAAACTTGGCAAGCAAACCTTCGGCTGATCTCTGAGTTTGATACTGTTGAAGACTTTTGGGCGTAAGTAACCCATTCATTTCAGGATGCTTGTTATTTCATTAGTATGTAATTTTTAATTTTATGTCACATTTACAAAATCAATGTTAAAGTGAAAAGTTAATAAATATTCATTTATAGAACTACCTTTTTGCTTGTCCTTTTCCTCACAACTGTTTGAATTGGTGGTTATTCCTCATCAGCTTTTAGAAAGCTTCTGCCTTGATGGCATTTAGGCCTGCATGTTCTTTATTCCTGACAGATCCTCTGCTTTATTACTCCTAGAACTTGTGACAACTTGTTGGAACTTTTCCCTTTCTTGGTTGCCTGGATATATTTACCCCATACTTGGGTATTCCAGGGCTTTGTTACATCTTCATTTCTGCAAATTATTTTCATTGTAACATCTAGGATTTGTTGTTATAAGAATTTCAAGATTTCAGAATTCGTGCTCATTATTCAGGGTTTGTAAAAGAATGACAGTCTCTGTTAAGACTGTATATTTTTGGATTCACATATATAGAATAAGTGATGCTACTCTTGTGTTTTAATATAACTCCCTAAATGTGTTCTCCCATACAAAAGAACAGATTATGTTCGGCAATGAACATAATAACATGTGTTATTATGTTGATAACGTGTACTTCCTCCAGGGCAGGAACGATATTCTTCTGTATATTCCTAGTGCTTTGTCCATTCTAGGCATTTAGTATGCATTTGAATCACTGAAAGAAACAAAACATTGCATCATTAGTGAAAACTGTACATTGTTAGCTAGCTTACTTTTTATTGAAAGCATTGAATTTCATTAAAAGTAATAGAATTACATTTAAGCCCCCAGTAATTCATAGGTCTAGTTGTCTAGTTAAACTGGGGTTTTCAGCTTTGCCTTCATCAAAATATCTGTGTTTTTCTTCTTTAATTGTATTTATTCAAGAGTACTCTAAAAACATAGTTTTCAGTCTGTTGAGGAAGAGGAGGAGAAGCAAGAGTCTTGAACCATTTCTTCTACTGAATCAAAATTATTTACCTACTTTGCTTGGCTTTCACCAGTATATGCATGACCCCACACTTTATTTATGTATAAGCAATGTGATTGCATAGCAGATTTTTATACCATAATTTAGAGATAAAAATGAATTCTTCAGCTTTCTAACTCACTTCTTTACCTCCTTTTTCTAGCAAATTTAGTGGTAAACAAGCATTCAGTCCTTTCAGATTTATCTAATCTGCTTATCGTGTTAGGGTTCTGTTTAAATGTGCCATTACATATTCTCACTGTAAACTTATTACTAAGGGACCTTACAACATAGCACCATGAAGGAGAAAGGCGGCCTTTTCTACTTGAACGACTTTGAAGAAGGTCACTTCCACACTATTCATTACTTTTATAAAAATGGTGGTGGCTAATTTTACAGCACACTGTTAGTATCTAGGCCTCTTTTGTTGTCTAGTGGAAGCTGTCAGTGATTATGTAGTTCAGGAAGAGTGATCATTAGGTACAATGACTCAAGAAACCTTAGTTGGTCTTACACTGTCTCACGCAAATTGGGTTTGCATTTTATCCTGTGGAATATTATCCAAAGGGTGCCAGACTCTTTCTGAATACTGTGCTTGAAATATTCCTGCACTGAGTTAAAATAGTGCAGAGAATTTGACTAAGGATAAATAACTGTCATCTGTGGTCTGTCTTCTGTATCATGTATTGGAGAAAGGTAAAGCATTTTTACTCTATTGTCAGTTTTATAACAGCTTTGCTGTAAAAGACTTCAGAAGCTCAAATGATTTAGCCTTCTACCTTCAAGCTAGAAGATACATATCTAAATCATCCCAAATATTATTCGGGTACATTGATATGTGGGGAATAGTTTAGATATACAGATTCCAGGGTCCACCAACATTAAGCCTTTAAAATTACAAGGTATAGGGCTGGAGCTGGTGCTTTTGTTTGTGTTTTAAAGCTCTCCAAATGATTATTATGCTTACTGACTAGTAACAGTCTGGTGTTTGGGAACCATTGGTCTGTTTTCTTGGATACCTTAAGGATAATAATGTTGGCTTATTTCAGTCATACAGTGCTGATAGTCAAGAAGCTATCTTGCTTTTTCCTTGATTTGTCTTGTGTGTTTAAAACTGCTCATTAGCTTTGTAAATTTTTCATCTACTTAAAGCAACCTCACACCTCTATTTTAGTTTCTTATATATATATATAGCTATGTACTGAGTTAACCAGTATACCAAATTTTATCAGAATAAAATTATTAAAAATAGTTTCTTAAATCATCAGGTGTTGATTCTTGAACTGACCACTTCTAAGATGTGTTTGGTCCATTTTAGAAATTGAATCCTTAGGGAAAAAATGAACATAAACCTTTATTTTTGTTATTTTTATTATATTTCCTGGATATTATTTAAACACCTAAACTCTGTATTACATATTCTATATGTATAATTGTCCTTTTCTTTTACCTAGTCTGTACAACCATATCCAGTTGTCTAGTAATTTAATGCCTGGCTGTGACTACTCACTTTTTAAGGTATGCTTAATTGGTGATTTCATATCTATGTAGTAAGATTGGACCATTCATGTATTCATTAAGAAATCTTGCTACAAAGTTAGTTATGGGAAATGCTCTGTTGATTGAAGGGAAATTAAATTGGCTTTACTAGGCTTAGCATAAACATATTTGCCCTGTTTTAGTATAAATAACTGAAGTTAAGTGAATGTCTTACTTTGTGGGTACCTACTGTGAGTGATTTTGAAGAGAGCTTTGATTGTCAGAACAGGCTCTGTCAGAAGCAAGGCTTGCTTTAGTATGGTTAGTAGGGTACATGAATGTCTCGCGTGAGGTGGATAGCAGTGTAAACATTTCACCTAAAATGTCATGTGGTATGCTTAAGTGTGCCCTTGTTATGTTTCAGAATCACATGCTTGTGATTTTGTAATAAAACAGAGCATTATTTGTGCCAGACCCTGTATATTTGAATAAAATGAAGTTCAGAGCTTGTCAAAAATTTTTTTTGAATTATAGATTACATTCAATATTATTTTGTATTAGTTTCAGGTGTATAGCATAGTGGTTAGACAATCACATACTTTACAAAGTGGTCCCCCATACTTACCTTCCTTGACCTTTGAAGTACCTATCTGGCACTATACACAGTTATTAAAATCTTATTGACTGTATTTCCTATGCTTTACTTTATATCCCCATGGGTTGGGAATTCTTATCATGAGGTACGTGGGTCCTGAAATATTTTTAAATGGATTTTGTCAGGTAGTAGGTGATGGGCTTTATTAAGTGTCTGAAATTGCATAGGTGTGCATAATTTTGCATGGAATTTCTAGGTATAGAAGTATATGTAGCTTTGAGAAGCTACATCAGAATGTTTAAGAACTTCCAAGTTAAATAAAACCCAATGTTGGATAGCTGATAAAAGTTGGGACTCTCAATTTTGTAACTCCATGCCTCTGGCTATAACTCCTGAATGCTTTTTTCCCACCTCGTCGATCACAGTTTTATGGGGAATGAAGTAAAAAGTTGACAGTATTGCTTGCTGTTTCTAGTGATGATCTCTTAAGTAACAATATTATCTAATATTTTCTCACCCTGTAGGATGGTATTAAGCCTATGTGGGAAGATGAGAAAAACAAACGAGGAGGACGATGGCTAATTACATTAAGCAAACAGCAGAGACGAAGTGACCTTGATCGCTTTTGGCTAGAGACAGTAAGGTTTTAAAATTACAAAAACAGTTTTAGAATACTAAAACTAATTTATATTACATTTACCTCAGTTACTTAGTCAACAAAGAGATAAGGATGCCCACTATAGAAATTCTAAGCCAGCAACTTATACTGTTTTCTATCATGTGAGTCCTGTATATTTTCACATACTAGTACAGTGAAAGCCCCTTCTACACTACAAATCAGATACAAAGTGATGGACAACTGACTCTGCCCTTCCTCCGCAAGCTCATTCTGCTCGTTACATTAACTTCAAAATTATAGAACTTTACATTTTGTATAATGTAAATTTTTATAAGCCTCTTAGAGTATTGTCATAAACACAAAACTTTTTAGGTAAGTGAAGCAAATAATAAAATTGTAGCTTGATACTATACAGCTTATTTGTTGTGATATAATCTGGAACTTTTAGCTTTGTATATATTAAATATGATGTAACAGGCGTTTTCTACAGTGAGGGGTTCTAAATCCCAAGATTTCGGAGCAGGAATCATAGTCTCTTTTGTTTCCCTAGCACTTGGCATAGTGTCTGGTTTATAGTTTGCTTAGTGAAGCAATTAATATATATTTGGGTGACTGATTTTTTTTTTAGAAGAGACATTGCTTTTGGGAGAGATTATCAGTAAATATCATTTTAGAACTCTACATTAAAAAGTTTTCAATTTGCATGATGACAGAAGTTTTAGAAATAGATGGTGGTGATGGTTGTACAATGTTGTGAATATACTTAATGCCACTGGACTGTACAAAAATGGTTAAAATAGCAAATTTTATGTTAACATATTTACTGCGATTAAACATTGGAAAGTATTCATGAAAAGTAGCAAGAAGCAAAGGCAGTTATTACTAAGTAACAGCATAGCAAGTGAATATTAATAAAATAATTCACCTTTTATATGTAGTCCTGTTACCATTTGCCCAGTTTGCTGAGAAAGTTCAAACAACTATTAATTTTCTTGATATTAATCAGAAAAACAAAGGAGAAAATCAGTCTTTAAAAGTCAGGATAAAAACAATATACATAAAAATAATGTAGACATTCAAAAATGTCTACATTATTTAAAATGTAGACATTTAAAAACTTTAAAAAGATTTAAAAACTTTTAGTTTTGTATATATAAGAGAGACATTTGCAGTTGAATTATTTAGCTTTTTATAATCTATTGGGTGTCATTTGCATTTGGATTTTGTTTTTAAGCTGCTGTGCCTTATTGGAGAATCTTTTGATGACTACAGTGATGATGTATGTGGAGCTGTTGTTAATGTTAGAGCTAAAGGTGATAAGATAGCAATATGGACTACTGAATGTGAAAACAGAGATGCTGTTACATATATAGGGTAAGTTTTTGCTATTTGTGTATTTCTTTTACAGTACTACAATAACTAAATGCAGAGTAATTTGAAGCTTTAGAAATATTTGGATTTGTAGATCATTATTTTTCTTGTATCACTTCTTTTACACTTACCTATTTTGGCATATTAATTTGTCAGATGACAATATAAGTCTTTTTCTAGTTTAAAATTATAGTGCTAAGTGTATAATACTCATAATAATATAATTATTCGTGAATACTATATGTGTGCTTTTTCCCTGTGTGTACACTGTCCATAATGTTTTTATTGAAATTTAAGTGACACTATCTTGGTTTTGTCCATATTTAAAATTTACATGTCTTAATCTTTAAACATATTTGGTAAATATTATTTGGAAAAATTGCCTGTTGTTTTTTTCTCCCCCAAACATCCATCAGTGTTAACTAGAATTTTCTTTTTACTGCATGTAAATTAGTAACTGGTGTGTGTGTGTGTGCGTGTGTGTGTGTATGTGTGTGTGCATTACTTGCCAAGAAAAATTTTTTATTGTATTTTTTCCATTTAGCCCTCTTATACCCCTTCCCCCGCCCCCCTCATTCACTACACTGTTGTCCATGCCCATGAGTCCTTTTGCTGTTTTGCCTGATCCCTCTACCCCCTAATCTCCACTGCTCAACACATCTGTCATCCTACTCTCTGGGATTCTGTTTATTTTACTTATCACGATGTTCCTCAGGTCTATCCACACTGTCATAAAGGGTAATTTTTTTCCTTTTTTATGGCCAAGTAGAATTCCATTATGGAAATGACCCACAGTTGTTTCATCTACTCATCTACTGATGGACACTTAGGCTGCTTCCATATCTTGGCAATTGTAAATAACACTGCAGTGAACATTGGGTGCTTATGTTCTTTCAAATTAGTGTTTTGGGTTTCTTCAGATATAGCCTCAGAACTAGTAAAATTTTGGTTTTAAATTTTGTGTTAAAACTAAGTACTAGTCTTAGGGTAATAAAATGTTTGTTTACCCTTTGTGTGTGATTTTTCAAACATGAAGTCTCCTACGAATCCCTTTTGAATTAAAAGATATGGATATCTTTCCAGATATCCATATCTGGATTTTATTTCCATAGATTTTATTCCACAGGTTTCTGTAAGAGAAAGGAGTTGCTTGTTGATTTGTCGTACTTCTAATCTTTCTGTGAGCATCAAAACATAATTGTGGGAGTTTTATATTTCTTTGAAAACAAGTTAAAGATATTAAATATTAATTTATTTCTTCAGAAAATTTTGTATTTGTTTCAGTATTCAAAGTTTTGAAATCTTTATAATATAAAACATTTGACTTACAAGGACAGATTTTTATTTTTTAAACCAGTTCAGGTTGTGTGGTTCAGTGTGCTTGCTTCCTGGTGTTGTTAATGATTTAGTATAATTGAGGGAACACATTGTGTCATACACATAAGTCTGATGACAGTGGTTATAATTTTAGTTATGGAATTGTTTTTAGATGCCTACATCAAGGGAAGGCATTGAAATCTTCTGGAGGGTAGAGTATAAAACTGTCTTAGTGTTATATTGGAGAATTTAGCTCCATGAAAATGTATATCCCTTTATTTCTATTTAATTCTGATGCTTATGTTTGAAATTTTGCTGTTTTTCCTTAGAATAAGAATCTAGTTTTCTTGTCAGCCTTATTTCTCATATTTATTTGCCTTATTAGTTGTAGCCACAGAGCCTTATTTTTGTTCCTCAGCCTTCAAATGTGCTTCATTTTCTTGGCATTATACTTTTGATCTTATGACTTTTAAAAGGAAGATTTCTATAATTTCACAGATGATATTAGCTCCTTATTGTACAATATCACAGCCCCAGTACTTACCCTCTTTGATACTTAACACATTTTGTTCTTAAAATAGTGTCATGTCTTATTTGAAAGTTAGGTTGTAGAGTTAGTATTTAAGGCAGAAATCATGTATATCCTAAATTATCCAGAAAATATTATAAATTGCCTTCAAAGTGTTTAATTTTTGTGCAATCTTGTAATAATTATGGTAATTGTACAGTAATATGCAATATTTACTAGGGTTTATATGTAAAATATATTGTAGCAATTTATTTTTTAATTTAATTTTTAAGATTTTATTTATTTATCTTTAGAGGAGAAGGGAAGGAGAGAGGGAGAGAAATGTCAGTGTGTGGCTGCCACTCGTGTGTCCCCTTCTGGGAACTGGCCTGCAACCCAGGCTTGGGAATTGAACTGCGGTTGTTTTGATTCACAGGCCTGCACTCAGTCCACTGAGCTACACCAGCCAGGGCTTATTATTTCTTTGTAATCCTCACCCAAGGATATGTTCATTGATTTTAGAGAGAGAGGAAGGGTGGAAGGAGACAGAGGGAGAAACATTGATGTGAGAGAAACATCAGTCAGTTTCCTACCCTGGGTGCCCTGACTGGGGATCAAACCTGTAACTTTTGGTACACAGGGCCATGCCTCAACTGAGCCACCTGGCCAGAGCTAATTATAGAATTTTAATTTTTTAAAAATCCTCTCCCGAGGACATACCCATTGATTTTAGAGAGAGAGAAAGGGAGGGGGAGAGAAACATTCATTTGTTGCCTCTTGCATACATCCCAACCAGTTGGGACTGAACCTGCAGCCTTAGATATGTGCCGTGACCGGGAGTCCAACCCATGACCTTTTAGTTTACAGAACAACATTCCAACCACCTGAGCCACACCAGCCTAATTGTAGCATTTTAGACCAGAGAATTTAAATAGATATGTTCATGTAGTAGATTTTATTATTTTAATTACAATGTTACAGCTCCACCATGTGTGTTTGTGATTATTTGTAAATAAACATAAACACTGAGCCCAGGGACTGCCCCTGCTTTAATTACTGATTTATTAATAAGTATTAGAGTACCTGATACACAGTAGACTTAAATCCTGATTAAGTGATTAACCAAGATTGTTGTGAAAATGAAGAGTAAATTTTGCTAAAAGGGTATGTGATTTCCTTTTTTACCCTCTAGCCTAGTTATTTTTTTTTTTTAGTATAAAGAATAATACTGAATTTGGTATGTGTATGGGTAAAAGTTAATGGCCACTTTTCTTTTTCTTTTTCTAGGAGGGTATACAAGGAAAGGTTAGGACTTCCTCCAAAGATGACGATTGGTTATCAGTCCCATGCAGACACAGCTACTAAGAGCGGCTCCACCACTAAAAATAGGTTTGTTGTTTAAGAAGACACCTTCTGAGTATTCTCATAGGAGACTGCGTCAAGCAATCGAGATTTGGGAGTTGAACCAAAGCCTCTTCAAAAGCAGAGTGGACTGCATTTAAATTTGATTTCCATCTAAACATTGCAAAGATATGAGAAGTCTCATTCGCCTTTGTCTTGTACTTCTGTGTTGGTTTTTTTTTTTTGGCTAGAATATTCACTTAACCAATCAAAGAATTAACAGTACACATCATCCCCAGAATCCAAAAATGTGTTTCTGGCCTACTGTGTAATAGCTTAGGAAAATTATCATTACAGACATTTTACCCATCCACAAAGTTTGAAAAGACCTTAACATTTCTATACCTTACAGGAGAAAAATTCTGTTTATGTTCCATTGTATGCAGGAGCATATTTTGCTGGTTTGAAAGAGTATGATGCATACAGTTTTCTAGCGACTTTGTTTCTTTCTCTTTTTTTGTCTTTTTTTTTTTACAGCATTGTCTTTGCTGTGCTCTTGCTGATGGCTGCTAGATTTTAATTTATTTGGTTCCCTGCTTGATAACATTAGTGATTCTGATTTCACTTTTTCATTTGTTTGCTTTGGTTTTTTTCCCTCATGTAACATTGGTAAAGGATCCAGGAACATGACACAAAGGTGGAATAAACATTAATTTTGGGCATTCTTTGGTAATTTTTTGTTTTTTTATAACTAGAAAGCTTTGCTACAAATTTATGCATTTCATTCAAATCAGTGATCTATGTTTGTGTGATTTCCTAAACAATTGTGGATTATAAAAATGTAACATCGTAATTACATTCCTAATTAGAATTAGTATGTCTGTTTTTGTATCTCTTTGCTGTATTTTAATACTTTGTATTACTTAGGTTATTTTGCTTTGGTTAAAAAATGGCTTAAATAGAAAAGCAATCCCATTCACATTAAGACAGTGTACAAAACTGTAAATAAAATGTGTACAGTGAATTGTCTTTTAGACAACTAGATTTGTCCTTTTATTTCTCCATCTCTATAGAAGAAATTTGTACTTCTTATTGCAAGCCAAGTCTCTGTTGTCTTCTCTTGTAGTGTCTTCCCTGTGAACAGCATAAGTTTGGAGCACTAGTTTGATTATTATGTTTATTACAATTTTTAATAAATTGAATAGGTAGCATCATATATGTGGAATAAATCAATGTGGCTATCTTTGTTTTTTTTATAAAGTAAGGCATTGTCTCTCAGTTTTAGGTAATTCAGATATTCTTAATATGTTACAACTCATAAGAATTGTGATCTTGGTGCATCACCATTTGATTGTTAGGAATAGTAGTTGTAAAACTTGGTTGCCGCATCAAAATGATAGCATAGGGAAAGAGTGCAGGTATTGGGGGCATATGCATTAAAAATGTTGTTAATGTTGCTGCCTAAATAGAATGGAATAAGACATTTATATTGGTAAATTGGTCTGGTATGGTTTTTTGTAAACTTAAATTTGATCTGTTCTTTGTGGGTATCATTTGAAAGCAAATCTGAAAACATGTTGCCTATAATATGTAATTACAGATTTCAGATGCCAAGAAATAAATATGGCTATCATAGACTAATGTAAACTGTACTATAGGTAGAATGGAAATCATACACTTAGAAGAAAATTTGTCTTTTAAGTGAAAATGGAAAAGCTTGAAAAATATTCTATGTAAATAAACATGAAATTAATTTCACTGAAGAATTTTAAAACATTGTAAAGGGTATCTACTACAGGGGGTACCTACCACAGGCTACCATCTGAGTACTCTCGATACCACAAACAACTCTTGTTCATTGTTCTAGAAGTACTGACTTCTTGTGTTTATAATCTCAATTTACTAAACCTAGTAACATGTTTAATCTGCTTTTTAAGCTTGTGTGAGTGGTTAAGGTGATTTATTGTCTGTTGATAAGTATAGTTGTGAGCATTTCAAGAGCTTATTTAAACAGGTGGTGGTGTGTTATCAGTGAGAGGAATTGGCATTAGTATATCAAATATGAATGCTCTTAGAATTATGTTAGAATCCTTAATTCGAAGATGCAGTCCATTTTAAGAAGCATTCACTTTCAGGGGTGGAGAAACAGCAATGAGTTAAATGTATACAGTTCTACATTTTTTTAAAACCCTGATTTTTACAGCATTGAATTATCCTATCATTGCTATTTTATATTCTTTTTTTTTTAAGGTTTTATTTATCTTTAGAGGGGAAGGAGAGAGGGAGAGAAACATCAGTGTATGGTTGCCTTTCGTGCGTCCCCTGCTGGGAACCGGCTGCTCAATCCACTGAGCTACACCAGCCAGGGCTCTATCATTGGTATTTTAAAATCACAATCAGTTTTAAGTGTTTTCTCCCCCAGTGGGGAGGAATTATCAATTATCTGAGTCACTTTTGGCAAATGCCACTTAAAGTTGTAGTGATATGCAACTTTTCATAATTTCCTTAGCATCTTTTCTAAATATTAGACTTTATATGATTTTCTAATTTTTTCCTCTCTATCCAACAGGATATTATAAATGAATATGTTTTCATAATAGAGAATAAAAGTAATCATTATCAGATGAATAGTAAGTAGTTCATTGTAAGGACGTGATATATTACATTTAACCGGTTTAATTATAATTTAAATTCTACATAAGGAGTTAAGGCATACTGTATGAGAATTAAATAATTACAGCACTTACATGGTACTGTCTGCCAGGCAGTATCCCAAGCACTTTACATGCACTTTAACCTACACAATTATCCTTTGATGTAGCTGCTGTTACCCCTTTTTACAGATTGAAGAAACAGAAGCATTGAAGATTTATCAAGTCTCTTCAGCTTGTAAGTTGCAAAATGTGGGTTTTACTCTGGAAATTTGGTTCCAGAGACCCTGTAAATTACATCTTACATCTTACACTTACTGGCCCTGTCAATAGTGTACATCCTATCTTATAGGCTACATAGTACATCATACCAGATTATAGTCAGTTTATAGGCCAGGTGTATGAAAATTTCATCATATTTCCTTTGGTAATGAAATTCACATTGGATCAAGAAGCTCCCTTGCTCACCATTAGCCCATCAATTAAATTCATCATTTGTGGAAATTTTGAGAACATGGAGACAGGTATAAGGATTTTATAGGTTAAGTGAATATTTCCATATTTTTGTCTCTATCCTATTCTAAGGTAAAGGCAAAATAAAGCAAAACTTTCAGGTTGGTAGCAGTTAAGATTCTTAAATGCTAAAGATTGCATTTAAAAAGGATCATTTTAGCCCTGGTCATGTGTTAAACTTGGTTGGAGCATCCTGTGCATCAAAAGGTTGTGGGTTGGGTCCCAGTCAGGGTACATACTAAGGTTGTGTTTTTGAAACCCAGTTAGGGTGCATAACGATCTCTGTCCCTCCCTCCCTCCCTCCCTCCCTCCCTCCCTCCCTCCCTCAAGCCAATACATATATCCTTGGGTGAGGATTTTTTAAAAAGGAAAGACTAAAACATTTACTATGTTTTATGTTTTAAAATTAAAAGTTGATGACAAGTCTTTTTATCTCTAATTTGTCTTTATTATTGTGTAGGAGAAAACAGCTGAATTTTCTCAGAGTTAGACCCTCTAGAAAATGCAAAATTTTAGGTCAGATTGACATGAAAAAACAAAACTGTAGCCCAGCGCTCCTCAGCATCTCTACGGACTTACAGAAATTGAGTGTCTAGAAACTTGTATTGCAGTTTGATATTGCTGTGATATTAAAAGTATATGCTCATTTTTATAGTAATTTTTAAAAACCTTTTTTTTTGCTTTTTTAAATTTATTTTTAATTGATTATGCTGTTACAGTTGTTCTATTCCCCCCCTTCATTCCCCTCCACTCTACCCCCCATCCCCACCATTACCCCCCTTTAGTTTATGACCATGCATCTCAAGTTCTTTAGATTCTATATTTCCCCTACTATTCTTGCTCCCCCATCTATTTTCTATCTACTGTCTATGCTACTTATTTTCTGTACCTTCTCCCCCCTTCTCCTCCTCCCACTCCCCTGTTGCTAACCCTCCTTGAGATCTTCATTTCTATGTTTCCACTCCTGATCTAGCTGTCCTTTTAGTTTGCTTTTGTTTTAGGCGTGGTTGTTAATAACTGTGAGTTTGTTGTCCTTTCACTGTTCATGTTTTTTTTTAACTTCTTTTTCTTAGATAAGTCCCTTTAACATTTCATATAATAAGGGCTTGGTGATGATGAACTCCTTGAATTTGACCTTATCTGAGAAGCACTTTATCTGTCCTTCCATTCTAAATGAAAGTTTTGCTGGATAGAGCAATCTTGGATGTAGGTCTTTGGATTTCATGACTTGGAATACCTTTTTCTAGCCCCTTCTTGCCTGTAAGGTCTCTCTTGAGAAGTCCGCTGACAGTCTGATGGGGACTCCTTTGTAGGTGACTGTCCCCTTAGCTCTTGCTGCTTCTAGGATTCTCTCCTTCATTTTAATCTTGGCTAATGTAATGATGATGTGCCTTGGTGTGTTTCTTCTTGGGTCCAACTTCTTTGGGACTCTGAGCTTCCTGGATTTCCTGGAAGTCTTGCCTTTGCCAGATTGGGGAAATTCTCCTTTATTATTTGTTCAAATAAGTTTTCCACTGGTGGCTGTGCCTTTCCCCCTTCTGGTACCTCTATAATTTGGATGTTATAGCGTTTAAAGATGTTCTGGAGGTTCCTAAGCCTCTCCTCATTTTTTTGAATTCTTGCTTCTTCACTCTTTTCTGTTTGGCCATTATTTGCTTTCTTCTGGTCCACTCCATTGATTTGAGTCCCAGTTTCCTTTTCATTGCTATTGGTTTCCTGTGCAATTCCATTCATTTCAATTAGTTTCGCCTTCATATGTTTGTCTAATTTGTGGCTATAATCAACTAGTTCTGTGAGGATCCTGATCACCAGTGTTTTAAACTGTGCGTCTGAGAGTTTTGCTCTTTCTTCATCGCTTAGATTTATAGGCTCTGGGGCTTTGATATCTTCTTGAGCCATTTTTGGTCTGTTTGCGCCCGTTAAGTATCAGGAGCGGTGCCTTGGACACCGCGGTCGCTGGGTTGTGACGCTGTATGTGGAGGCGGGGTCAGAGTGGGGAAATGGCGGCCCCCTCCACTGCCGCTTGCCTAGGGGGCTGCTAGCTCTCGTCCAATCGCCCACTCCATCACTTGTCTATCCACACACGCATGCGCGACCACAGTCAAACCGCAGCCCTGCTCCCTTGCTGTTTCCCTGAGGTCGCTCACTGAGTTGCCCACCAGGTCCGACCCTGTGCCTGGGTTCTGCGCGTCTGAGTCCGTCTGACCGAGTTTTCCTGTGCTACCCTGCTCTGCCAGCTGCTGGTTTCGCCCCTCTTTCCGGTCAGGCTGAAGAATTTGTTATCAGACTTACGAAAAGTTCAATTTTCTGTGTTCTGGCTGTGTTTTCTGTTGCTAATATTTAGTTGTCTCTAAACTTGGTTGTGTGAGGAAGCACGGCGTCTCCACCTATGCCTCCATCTTGGCGGAAGTGTCTAAAAACATATTTTACTAAAGTATGTTTTTGACAGTGCAGTTTCAAAAACAATACACTTAGGTGGTTTTCCTCAGTAGCCAAAGCCAGCTCATTTGCCCATTAATCCCTAAGGCACCTGGGTTCGTTATCTCTCCACTCCTCATTTCCTCACAACTAATGGATTTAGCTTCAAAATTTCAGTCCTAATCTAGCATCTTTCAATAATGTTCTGGGGTATCCTACTTACTATGAACTGCAAAGTAGGTATTAAGGCTGCCTTCTTCGTATCTTAAGTAGTTCTAGACTTGCTTATTCATTCTTGTGACCGTTTCTTTCATTGCTGGAAGCAAAAATGAAATGGTCAGCATGCAATCACATTGTATTTGTATTCTTTGTCTCCTAAACACATTTATATTCTTATAATTAGTTTACCTTTGTTTATAAGGGTATTATTTTCTTGCTTTATTTTGCTTTCAGCTTTTGGGTGCAATTTTGGTTGAATGGTCTGTGTGATTGCCTGAAATTTAGGCGTTTTTTTTTAAACTGAAAAATGAAGACATTTATTGAAGAAGATACAAGAAACATTGTATATAGGACAACGATGCCTCAGCCCCCTGACATTTAGTTTTGGTATAGGATAAAGGTTTATCCCAGCTTGACCCTGCTTGTCTTGTT